TCCATGAGTCCCATTTGTTCACTTATTAAATTTTGTTCTCCTTCATTTTCTCTTTTCTATTCAGAATACCATTTAGATAGATTCTTCCAAACAGAGAGAAAAAGGACAAAAAAAATTAGGTAATGTGGAAGATCAATTCAAGAGATCTATTTCCTTTGACTATCAGTTCTCCTTTTTGAATATCTTTCGTCAGTGTTTCTTTTTTTTCCTGTTTCCATAGTTTCCAGTTGCTCATTTTTAATAGATGCAATGTCTTCATGAGTTTCTTTGAGGATAACACTTACAAACTTTAAACATCTATAAGTTTAAAAGCTCTGCTTCCTTAAGGTGAGTTGATTATTTTCATCCTTTTGTGCTTTTGCTTTTCCTCTTCCTCAAAAATTAAAAAAACAAACAAACAAAGGATTCTTGAACTCTTTGTAAGTGAGCAGGGTATCAACTGTTGTGCCTCACTTTAGAGTCCATGGGTGAAATGCAGGAAAACAGCTGCCTCTTCCTCTTCTCCCTCCACCCTGTGCCCAAGTAAGGAAGGCTTTGTTGTGGAGCATGAAGATGTTCTAATGCTTTCAGGGTAGATTGTTAAATTAAAAAAAAAAAAAAAGTTGTGGTTTTAGCTGAAAACCAGCATTGTTGCTCCTAGACATTCTGTGTGTAAAGGAGTAAGATAAAAGGTTTGGCTTGGCTATCTAATATACATATTATAAGAATCCTGATTTTTGTCCTACAGCCCCTTTCTGCTGTATCTAGGTTTGGTATTTCTTCAGACTCTGCTGGCAGGAAAGGCTTCTGCATGGCTGCAGCTTTCTTGTGTGTACACATGCATATAGGTACACCTGCATGTTTGTTCTAGACTGTGGTTTTCTCTGCACTGGCTTAATCCTCAATATAATCCCATCTGCTCTCCTTCTAGAATGCATGAATGCACTTCAGTGGGATTTTGCTAGGAAGTGGAAGAAAATGCATATGCTTTAGTTTGTCTTACACAAAGTAGGTAATTGATAGGTATATGTTGAATCAATCAATCAATGTTGTTGAGAATATTGGGCAAAACACATCTGTTTAAATTTTAAAAAATTATGACTTTAGAATACGGGTAATTAAATGAATCTTTTTAAAAAATTCTTTTAACTTTGTCCTGTTTCAGGAAAGAATCTCATTGGGGTTAAAACTTACCAGTGGAGGTACAAAATGAAAAACCTGCCATCTCCCACTGTTTTTTTTTTTTCTTTCCCCAAAATTAAAGACCTTAATTGCATTTTGTTCCTTTTTAGTGCTTAGCACAGTGCCTGGCATGTTGTAAGTATTCAATGATAGTTATTATTAATGTTTGTTTAAGTTAAACTCTTTTTGTCTCTCATTGGGGAATAATATGTGTAAAGTACTAGGAATAGATTTTGGCATTTATAGTAAGTGCTCCATAAGTGTTAACTACTATTCTTTGATACATGAGCAACAATTTATTTTTTTCTGTGAAGCTTTCTCTGATCTTATGTCCCAGCCTTTCTGGTAAGTAACATTGATTTGCTTGCTTGTGTGTCTCTCCACCAAATGTGGTTCTTGATAGCTGGGAGCTATCTTTTTTATCTTAGTAGTCTTGCTGCATAGTGATTGCTTGCCACCTATCATTAGTCCCTCTTTTTTGCTAGGTCTTAATGGTTGAGGATGATGGTGTGACTGGAACATGGGGGATGTGCACTAGTGGGAAGTGAAATGTGACAAATATGCTGACACCAGGTTGTATGTAGCTGAATACCAGATTAAAGAATTTGAACTTTATTTTGTATGCCCTGGGAGGCATTTTGATTACTGACTAGATTAGTTTCATATTTTAGAAAGATAATTCTGAGTACAGAGAAGAATATGTGCTGGAAAGAAGAAATAAGATTGGAGGCAAGCAGAAGGTGTAAGAAACTCTTGGCTCTTGCCGTATTATAAGGTTCTTATTTTAGTTGAGAAACGTTGCAGCTCATACTTGAAGGATAGGTCTTACCAACACATAACTTTTAAGTCATATCACAGATAGGCTTCAGGGCTTCCCTGCTCACTTTGCTTTGAGTTATATAAAATTTTAAATAAAATGCTAAAATTTATTATAAACAAGGAACACAACTACATTTTGTAAAAATTGTGAAAATATTTTCTGCAAAAGCCTGTGAATTGGTGATATTTTAAACTTGTTTGTTGTATTTTCTGTTCTGTCCATTGTTCAACATTTAATGTGTGTCATGTACAGGGAAGTAATGTGGGACAACAGTTTTCTTTGGGAAAGGAGATGAATTATGTTTTTAATACACTAAGTTTCAGGTGTTTATATAGCTCAACTGGAGGTACCTTACATATAAGACGTATAGATTTGTAAAGAGTTTGAGGGAGTAGGCTAGAGATTGGAAGTTTTCTAAATAAAGATGGTAATTGAAGCCTAGGGTTCGATGACTTTGTGCATCTGATAAACAGTAGTCAAAGATGTAAATAGAAATGCAATGAAATGTTCTGCTTTTTTGGCCTTAGTGATAAAGTCTCTAGTGTCTGATGTGTCAGAGTTGTAAAGAAGAATGAAGGACTGAGATCTTTGGGTTGAATCAGAAAGGGGTCATTGGAGACCTGAGACTACACTGATTGGTTAGAGTACAGCAGAGTAAAATTAGATTGGAGGGACACTGAAATGAGTTGATAAGGAAATAGAACACTGTAGTTTAAAAATTCCTGCAAAGGATAGGAAAGCTAGAAGAGTGAAAGAAATTGTAGGGTTAAGTGGTGGTTTTTCCAGATGTATGTGCATTGGCTAACCACTTATAAAGACAGGGAGGTTCAGTACAGTTAAATAAAACTACCCAGAACTATACTGAACTATATAATATTTTAAAAACTACCCAGAACTATACTGAACTATATAATATTTTAAAAAGGTAAAATGAACATTAAGAAGAATTAAACAACCCTGAAATTCAGTAAAGCTAATTTTCATCATATAAATTTGACATTTAGAAGAATAATTTCAGTACTTTTTCAGGAGTTCAAATTCTTTGAAGAGTAGCCACAGGATTAAAAAATCATTTGCTAATCGTTGAATTTTTAATGTGTGCCTAGGGTGAGTTTATTTTAAAGTTTTAGAAATTCATAAAAATAGATTGTTAAAAGCTGAATAAATTCATAGAAAATATAGTCACAGTATTTTTGTTGAAAAAGATAGGCATAATTGGAATACCCTATTTGATACGTAGATTTCGATGTGATATGATGAGAGGGAATTTTAAGCACATTTATCATATAACTGACTTAGAATCAGGGATGTAAATTATAGGAGGATGATGCTTACATTTATATTCACAACTCTTCCAAAGTTATAATTTTAAAAAGATATGTTTTTATGGAAAAGAGAAATCTAATATAATAGAATAAAATGTTGACTATAAAATGTTTTAAAATCAGTCTTGAAGGAATAGATCACCTTCATGCTTTCAAATATTCAGAGTTGACATCACAGCAACCTTCGTTTCCCTAAGTGATAACTTTTTATGTATGCAGGTGGTATCTAGACTGTGCTTACAGTTCTTGGTAGACTGAAGAGTGAATGTGTTATTTGTTTGGGAGTGGGGAAAGGAAATATAATAGTGGCCTGGAGTAGGAGTAGAAAGACCTACTTTAAAAAATCTACTCCATTAGAGATTTACATTAAAGGTTTATTTTCTCTATGTAGGGTTTACATTCATACTTTTCTTGAATTCCTAAAACTGAACACCTAGCTAATAAGATTTATTCTCTGAGGAATGAGAGTCTGAGTTATGTGTGTGTGATGAGGGCAGAATGAGAGAGACTGTTTTGAAAGTGACCTCCAAGGGCTATAAAGAGACTTGCAGTTTTGCTAACAAAAATGTTATGCTCTAGATAACTTAGTACCTTTATGATTCTTACTAGCTTGTGGGCTCCAAACCCTAGCTTCTCTCTAATTCAGTATTGTTTATCTTCTCCATTTTAGTCATGTTTCTCTCCATCCCACTGAAAATGAAAGGTCCCTGTCCCTGGGCTATTTGGATCATGGCTTCCCTATAAATATTGATGGTATACCACATGTGTATTTTCTAACTAACTTCTAACTGAGAGTCTAGAAAGACACATAAATGGGGAACCCAAAGTAATCCCTCTCCCTTGATATTTCATAACATAGTTATACATTAAATGGTAGAAGAGTCACTAAGGCTGGATCTCTGAATACACCTATGTGATTCTGAGCTATGGCATGTGAATCTTGGATAGGCTCATTATATTTGTGGAAATCTGTATGCATCTATCAAAATTAACATCTCTATGTAACAAGTCACGTACTATGTCGTTACACAAAAAGTTAAATCTTGTTTACCTCTTGAAAAAGAGATGCAGGTTAGTAAAGACAGTTAAATTCAAGTGGATTTTTAAATATATTGTAGAAAGATCTTGTGCTTTAGCAGAGACATGGACTTCTGCTGCTTACTAGATGTGTTAATTGTGTGCAAGTTACTATGGAAACATGCTCAGAGGATGATTCTGTATGTATAGTGCCTAGTACATCCTTATGAGGTATTCATTAATGAATGTTAGTATTCTTCCTGTTGTACAGGACAAGTGAAATGCCTTCTAGAAAACTAATATTGAACATGTTGGAAAATATTTAAAATAGTTATGTAGCTGAGTAAATTATCCTGAAAAGGACTACTGTTCCTACTATGTAGGACAGCTTTATTTTACTTTACATGAAAAACTTCTGTACTAATTATTAGTTTCACATTAGACTTAATGTGATACTGAAATTCTTTTCATGTTGACTATATAACAGAGACTATATGTCCTGTTGAGAAGGATATCACCTATAATAAGAATCTGATTAGTTTGAATCAAAGTTACTTTTACATGAGTTAATAATGCACATATATGTTTCCTACTTGAGTAGCATCATCAACACTATTCAGTGGATACCTTTAGGTGACAAGATGTAAGAAGGAAAAAAAAAGCTGTGTAGCAAATGATCAGGTAATACCACTTCTTTAAAATATTACGATTCTAAACACCATTTCAAACAGCAAACTTTCATTATATGTTTCTGTTAATTTGTAATATCAGATAGCCCATCTTTTTTTTTTTAAGTTTCAGTATAAGATTAATACAAAGTGAGTGACAGACTAGACTACATTGTTAGTAGACATGATTTGTATAATTTGTGCTTTTCTTGCTGAAAGGGTTTTTTCCATGTAGTAAAATACATTTATTCAAAAATGGAGAGGTATAGTACATTATAATTCCAAGGAAATTTTTATATTAAAATGCATATTTTGGCTTAAATTGGAAAGGATTTCATTTAATACCTACATAAGGAGATTCACATTCAAGGCCCAAATCTTACCTATATTACCATACGTTTCTAATTACATGTTATTTTAAGCTTATTTATTTTAAACCATGATTACAGAGTTGATGTATGGGAATATATTGAAGGTATAACCTTATTATATTTACTGGTCTTTTGGTTTAATTCTCTACAACTTCAAAATAGTACTGTGGTATGAAATAACAGAATTATATTTACTCAGGTAAAAACAAGTTCTGAACTGAGTCCTTCATCATATTTTTCTAAAGAACTCACTTCTCATGAGCAAGTATTTAATATCACATAGCTGGAAAATCATTATATTATTGAAACAAATTTTTTCTTTAACTATACCCCAATATCTTGAATATGTATGTGTTTCAGGCCACTTGCAATTAAACTATAAATTTAGATGATATCTTGACTACAACATTAAACACAACTAAGATTTTCAAGTAAACACGTTTACAAATCATAATGCTATTGTGCTGTTCTCTGAGGACTAAAAGCTCTGCTTGTTGGGAAAAGTCAGTTAGGTCTTTTTAAGCAATTGAAGTTCTGTTTTCCTTCTAAACGTTCCTTTACTAATTTTTCCAAAGAGAAAAGATGCTCATCTGCATCTTCTGGCACAAGGCTTCTAATGGAATTTGCAAGTTCAAAAAGATATTCTGTATTTTTTCCACTTGGACCAGCTGCATTAAAAATTTGTTCAGCAATGTCTTCCAGAGGTGCAGGACCAAGATAATTAGGATTATCACATGTTCCAATATATAGCAACACAGTGAATGGTTCTGTTGTGGAATCTTTTGGATAAAAATTGACTGTTGTGGTCCTGTAGCCTCCTTTCTCTCTGAAGTCAAGGTATGCTTTTACTTCTTCTTCCTTTCCTACTGGCAGTCTGTAAGCAACACCCCATACACAACCCTGTTGAAAAATGAAAAGAATATATTATTTAGTTTTTACAAGGCTAAAATAGGTGAAGATATATTATGATGTAAGAAAATATCTTGTATATTCTTAGAAATCAGTGCAGTTTTGCCTCACTTAATGTGCACCAAACAGGTATATCACTAAACAGTAAAGGAAATCAGCATTTTACATTCTTCAATCTGAATAAATGATTTCCTTGTATACCAGGATATTTATCTTTGTTTAAGTTTTTCAAATTTTGTCTTTTAACTAATGGGACTGAAATTAAAATACCAGGTCTTCAATTAGTCATTAAATATAGTTCTAAAGCTTTAAATCCATAAACATTTCACTGATGGTATAGGGGCAGCAGTTTCCAAACTGCTTCAGGGAGTGTTGTAGCCACCCTGAAGCCTACTTCAGGGCTTCTGGATATAAGTGTTGGCGTGCTGGCTGGGAGGGGTTTGACCCCCAACCCCCTTCAGCTGCAGGTGAGTATCACTTATATATTTGGTGTTCCCTTATTTGCAGAAAGTGTTGTGTATTTTAAAAGCTCTGTAATAAAGTAATCAACTATTAAGGCGATAGGTTCATTTATCTGTTCATTTCTTCACTGCCTAAACTTTCAAATATCCTTTGTAAATTACTCCATCCAGAATACTAAATGGCAACCTCTTTGTCAAGAGAGCCCATGAACAGTGTCAGTAAAAGCAGTGTACTTCAGCTGCAAAGATTCTTTGTAGTATTAATAAAATATCTGTGATATAAGCAAGATTTATAGTTTGTAACACAGATTTTCTAGTTTCTTGACAACCTTTAATTATTAACTTGATTATTAAACTTTAGGTTGCTAAGCATCTTGAATAAATTAACATTCTATAGAAACAAAGTGGTTTTATTAACTCTAATTAGGAGTTTTACCAGTTTGAAGCCATTTTTATAGATGCTTTTCCTAATGTAAGTTATGAAAGCGTTTCATAATTTCACCATTCATCTGCTGTTGCTAGCTGCTTGATTTTATATATCAGAGTCCTTTCTAAAGTTAAATATTTAACTTCATAATATAAAATTTGGATCTCAGTAAAATGATTGAAAATATTTAAGAAACAGAGAACTACCAGGTAAATAAAAGTTTTCTAGTGCTCTAAACTTTAAAAAACCTCTTGTGCTCTTGATAAAATTAGGCAGTAAAGAAAGTGATAGTTCATGACTGGGATTTTTGCTGAAATATTAGAATCCTAGCAAATGTGAGGAAAGCTTTAGGGTTTCATTTGATTCTTAGTGGTAGTCTGTCTGAGGGCAGGCTCCATTAATTTCAAAGGAGACCACAAAATTCTCAGTCAATAAACTCATCAAGAAAGGAAAAATGGGACTATATGCCATTGTTTTTTTTGTTGTCTACCTTGAATTCTGTATTTCAGCTTTTCCCAACAGATGAAAAGAAATACAACAAATACAGAGAGGAATTCTAGACCCAGTGTAGTTCAAATTGTCTGTGATGACTGCTAATAAAATTTCATTGATTATTAAAACTGAGAAACATCTTAACATTTTATGATTAAAGACTATACAAAAAAGAATAATTATACCATACCGCAGGATCTTCAACAAGAGTCACAACTCTTCCAGGCTGTTTTAAAAAAGTAAAAAAAAAAAAATATTTTTTTTTCCCGAATTAAAGTTCAATAACTGAGCATTAGCAACTTACTGTTGACATGGAATATTTTAACTTTGTTTGCTCATACTAAACACTTTTTCAAAAGTACTTATTTTTTATGATAAATTTTAAAATGAATTAAGAGAGTCTACCTTATCCAAATTATCTTGGCCTTTCTAAAAGATTCTCTTTAATTTGTATATAACAGGTATATTATGTTCACTTAGAATGGATATATTAAAAAACACACACATGTGACTAAGGCTCATCTAAAATGAAAAGCAAAAGGAAGAAGCAATTATAAATAAATGTTGTGATCACTTTTTTCTCTTCAGGAAAAAAAGATTGCTATAGTTTCACTGAGGAACAAAACATGACATTCCAGGGTGCTTTCCTATTGGGAAGTGGTTCTCAAACTTAAGTGTAGATCAGAATTACCTGGAGGTAGTTCCTGATTCTGTAGGTATGGAGCAGTCTAAGAATTTGCATTTTTTTTTTTCAAATACAATTCCTACCTGGTGCCAAAGTCTGTGTCTACTGACATGTTATCATTAGTGAGAAAGTTGAGTTGTAAGCCACAATTTTACCTACTTGTATGCCTATTGTGTGGCACATAGCGAACTTACATCATTCAGATATTTGTGTCATCCTTGTTGCTATTCCCTTCTAGTCTTTGTCCATTTGTATAGGTAATTCATAATCACGGAACACATAGAATTTTGGATTATGTTTTTTATTTAATTATATTTTACTGTTTGTCTTCTCATCCATTTTAATAGTTGCATAATATTCTACTGTCAACTATAATTTAAACATTCTTGTATTGTTGGACATTTATATTTGACTTATTTTCTATTTAAGATAATGCTAAAGTGAGGATACATATATTGGTGTGGGTCATGTAGCTATTGCCATGTTACCTTCAATATCAAAGTGAATATGGAGCTATTTATTGAATACCCATTCTGTGCTGTAGAGAAGATAAAACCTTGATTCCTGCTTTCAAGAGCTTATATTGTAATTCTGGAATATGAACTTAACATGTGAAATAGGTAGAGAATACTTAAGGGCTATGATGTATACTATTTATTAAGTGCAGTAAGAATTCTGAGTCTTGGGTGGTCAGAAAGAAGGACAAAATTCTGGCAAAAGGGCACTGTGACTCATGATTTATGAGTGAGGGTCTAGAAGCAAGATTATACCAGGCCAAGTGTCTGACTTTAGCAGAGGGTCCTCCATGTATGGAAGATGACTCAGAAACATAACTGGAGAAATAGGATAGAGTCAGATTTGAGATTGGAGTTGAAACTGGGGGTCAATGGAAAAGAAGAAGCCACTGAAATTTGGGAGAAAAAGGAAATGAAGAGCTACTGTAGCACTTGAGTAGTAGGTGACTGGCATGATAAAAGAAGTGCTTTGGGAAGATGGTGTGGTAAAGTATATAGTATGCACGTTCAAGTGCGAAGGAGGTGGACTGTGCGTAAGAAATGTTCGTGGTGGAGGGGACAAGTTCTGCATTCCACCTTTTCTTTCCTTCCCCTTTCACCAGACTAGTCACCAATTTTTGGTAGCTCTATCTTCTGATTATCTTCTGAATCTGGTTTCTCTTCATCCTTCAGTTGTCTCCTTAGGGATTTCGCTGCCTGCCTCCAGACTGTTCTCTACTTGGCCCTAGATTGACTTTCTGGTGCAAAAATTGGGCCACTCACTTCTGTGCTTTGAATTTTTCAGGGTTGTAATATTCTACAGGATGAAATAATTATTTTGCATGAGTTAACTACAAACCTCATTTCTTAACCACTTTCCCTCTCAAGCTGTAATGAATTATTTATAACTTCTACAGACACTTACATCTTTGGATTTACTAGTTCCCAGTGTGGAATGCCTTTCCTTCTTTAGAATCCCTTGGATATCCTCCCACCACTCTCTCCATAAAGGCTTGGCTGTCTGCCCAGATGACTTTGCAGCAGCTCCTTCTAAACTCTCATTGCTCCTTTTATCCATTTCCCTTATAGCACTTATCAGGTATTGTTGTTTGCATAGGTGTCTCCCACTTACATGTGAGTACTCAGTAGTAATTGTTGAAAGGAGGAGAGGTAGTAAAGTCCTCGATGTAGGTGGTGGCAATTGAAACAGAAAACAAAGAGCATATATAGGGAGTCATTAAGGGAAAATAGATTTGTCCCTGTGACTGCTTATGGATGAAACAGACATTGACTCTTGGCACTACTGATATATTGACTCAGAAATATTTTCTAAAATTTAAGCTGTTTGTCCCTAAAATAAAATATATTATTGGGAAACAATGTAAATTTGTAAATGCACTTAAATGTGTTTTGGGGGTATTGAAACTGAAGAAGGGGTCTTGGAAGCTGAATGGGATTGGAGTATGCTGTGAAATATGAGTCATGATGGGTGCTTTCATTGGGTAATGAGTAATGTTTCTGATCTACATCTAGAAAAGTGAGGGATTTAGTAAATATTCATGATTATCTCTTGTGTTAAAATGTTTTCTCTTTTTGAAATTGAAATATATTCTTTCTGATATGAAAATTTTTTCACATTTAAATAAATCCTTAATTTGATGAGAACTGGCAAGTTTTGTTAGAAATAAATGAGATGCTTAATTAAACTTAGGAAGATACTAAAGTTAAATGAAGCTAAAAAGAAAGCATAATTTAGTAAAGAAAGTAAGTTTGGTATTTTTCCTACAAATGTCACATTGCACTATGTGGAAATGAGTCCAACATTTGTTTAATAATATCACGTTTCATATGTAATGATCATATGCTCACTAGAAGCATATGTTGCTGTAAAAACATAGTCCTATATAGCATTTACGTTATTCTAATTTGCTAGATATTCTGTAGCCTTTTATATTCTTGTTTGTCAGACAGTTAATATTTATAAAAGGCTGGTGATCCATTATAATAAAAAATGTGAAGTAAGATAATGTTCTTTCCAGTTTTCTTAATAGAACATTATATTTAGAAAATGTTTAGTGCCTTAGGCTTTCCTTTAATATGCTAGGATGGATTCTTTAAATAAAAGTAGGTATCAAACTATTAGCCACTGCAGTTTTTTTCCCCAAATTTCCTGCCCTATATTTTAGTATATTTAAGTAAAAAGAGAGATATTGGCTTTTATAGCTACCTTCTTTTTTAAAGACTCATGAACTGTTGTATTGGCATGACAGTTTCTTATCGGTTTGTTTTGATGGTGTACATAACTCATTATGCTGTGTACCAAACAAACATTTTGGTTGAGACTAGAGTAGTAAAATATGCTATATAACCGTGCTCGTAAGTAATTAATACTTGGTCATTGAAATTGAAGCCTGGGTTAAGGCATTCTTCTTCAGAATGGCAGTTTTAAGTGCCCATATCGGACAACTCAAAAGGCATTTTATTTAACTCAGTTCTTTGAAGTCTTAAATATTATTTTATAACACTCTTGGAGATACCTTGGCCATGAAGTTTCTGTTGGCCTGTAAATGTGCATTTGTGGTAAATCAGCCCTCTGTTTTCAAGTCATCTGTCTACCTTAAAGCCAAATTCTTAATTCACCAACTCTAGTTGAGGTAGAACAGCTTTTAACTTTTTGTGATTTCCATCCTATGTCTCATTGATGAGCAGGTGCAAACTACAGCCTTCCTGTCTTCCCTTTTCCATGATGCAAGGCTACAGGTATTTCTTTGGAATTAACCTCAATCTCTTGCTACATCTGATTTCTAGCATTTTAGATATTGTGCTTTTGAGCCAATATTAATTTCTTTTTTAAAAAAGTGGTAATCAAGCTCATATAACTCTCAGAGTATTTTAGAGAATATGTAAGCAATTAAACACTTTGTACTCTTCTAAAAGTTAGGAGGTTAACTATAAGAAGTGTTCAACTTATCCAAATTATCAGTTACTCAAAATTTAGTTTTCCTTATGGATTAGTTGTTTTGCAGCCAAAATGAGGCTGATTTGCATAAGCAGAGAGCTCTTACTCTCTTTTCACATATATTAAGATAAATGTCTCTGCATGGCTGACTGAAAAATGGATCAAAGAACTTACATTTTGCATTTATAATTTAGAGGAGAACCACTGAGAAAAAAACATTAAAATAATGCTGGATATAGTATTGGTACTTTGCTATTTAGGTAACAAAGCGGGACTCACTTAACTTGGGAAGTACCGGACAACCAACGTGATCAAAGTAAGGTAATTTTGGAAACTAGTTCTTCTGTGACCTTAGGTGTCATAAAATAAAACCTTTGGAAAGATACTAAAAAACCCCAGAAATAACATGCACGTTTAAACTCAGACCAGTCAAAGCCTGGCAGAATGCAGAAATGCCAATAAACTTAATTGCAAAAAAGCTGAATTTGCTAGTTGATTTTAGTATTTCAACTCCGTGGTGACAGGAAGGTTTATCTTCCCACCTTTTTGGGGGGGGCAGTAGTTGCCAAGAGATGGGGTCCCCTCCCAGCACGTTAGCCTTGTGCGAGTTTACGCCCACGCTTCTTCCTCTTCAAGAACTACCTACCACCAAGCATGTCAAGTGGCTTCGGAAGGACTGCCTTTGGTTTGAGAGGGAGTCGGGGGCAGGTGGCCGAGGAAGGTACACAGAGAGAGGTAGAAGCATTATAAACTATTTCATGAGTTTACTCGGCCGTTGGGGTGTTAAGTCCCACAGGAGATGGGGAGCAGTGAGCCGGGGTCAGTAAGTGTGGGGGACTGGTTAGCGCCTCACCTTGCCGGGAACCCCGCGGTGGTCGATGCTGCCCTGCCAGAAGCGTCTGCTGTAGCCTGAGATATATCCAACCACCTTGTCCTGATAGGGGAAGTCCACCTTCCAGATGAGGGACCCGTAACCAAAAACCCACATCCTTCCCTTGCTCTTCCTCCTTGGTGGCGGCGGCGGCTGTCCCCTCGGCGTGGTCTCTGAACTGCAGGCAGGGACTACAGCTTTCCGGACGCAAGAAACCGGCTGCGCAGGCGCAAAGTCTGCACTCCCTGCTTGGGGACGCAAAGCACACTGGGACTTGCAGTTCGAAGAATGTTTTCCTACTCCAGCTCAGTCAGTTATTATTATTATTTTTTTGCTTGCTTAGGGTATCCGGAAGCATTGACTTCCTCTGAACTAAGCAATGGATTTTTTCAGCAGCCTCTGTAAATCACCCTACTTTTCCTGAGGTGCGCGTGGTCAGAGGACTACATTACCCACAGTCCTTTTATGGGTTTTGTGGTTCTAAGATTGGAACTGTCTTCTGTTTTTCAAATGCACAGAGGAAGAAGAGAGAGGGTGGGAATCGTGGCTGGTGTGGTCTAGATACGGAGGCGAGCTGTTTATTGGTACCGCAGTTGGTACGTAGAAAGACATTTTGTTATGGTTTGAAAACTGGATTTGCAGGGAGTGTAATCTATTTTTACATTAAAAAAAATCTTTCTACCTGTCGAATAAAAGCAGAAAGTTTACTACAGAAGTTTTGTGCCTGTAGAAGAGCTGTTGAATATTATTTCAACAAAAATTGCTTGCATATTTAAATTTTCTGCGTGAAACGACCTTATTCATCTTTAGTATTCTCAGGAGTCACTCAGAAAAGAGTAGGCAAAGGTTTTTAGCTCGTGTATAGGCTTTGGAAGCCATATGTGAGACCTCCTGAAGCTGTATACAAGATTTGGGATCTGTGTACATTTTTCTGGGGAGAAATTTAATAGCTTTCATGAGTTTATCCAACAGGTCAAGTATCCTAAAAAATGTTTTGATCTGAAGGCTAGAGCTACTGCTCCAAAATACTGTTTAGGAAGCTCACTTGGACCATCAGTGCAGTGTTTCTGTATGTGAAAGCAGAAACCTTAACAAATGATTATTCTTTCTTGAGGATTTCTGTTTGGTAGTCTTTAGCTTTATAAAAGAATGCTAGAACATCCAGGTTCAAGGAGTATTATTTATGCTCTTAAGAAATCAGCAGGAAAATGTCACAAAGAAAAACTTAATTTAGGAATAATCAGGTCTGGGCCTCCCTGGTGACGCAGTGGTTAAGAATCCGCCTGCTAATGCAGGGAACACGGGTTCGAGCCCTGGTCCGGGAAGATCCCCCGTACTGCGGAGCAACTAAGCTCGTGAGTCACAACTACTGAGCCTACGCTCTAAAGCCTGCGAGCCACAACTACTGAGCCCACGTGCCACAACTACTGAAGCCCGTGCGCCTAGAGCCCATGCTTCGCAACAAGAGAAGCCACTGCTATGTGAAGCCCCGCGAACCTGCAATGAAGAGTAGCCCCCACTCCCCACAGCTGAAGAAAAGCCTGTGCACAGCAACGAAGACCCACGCAGCCAAAAATAAAATAAATAAATTTATATATAAAAAAAGAATAACCAGGTCTTTTAATTTTCTCCAAGCTGTGGTTTCACATTGCCTGGAATGGTTAGTTTCCCCCCAAATTTTTCGAAAAATTTCAAACATACAGAAAAGTTAGAAAAAAGGAATATGGTGACCATTTATATACTCTCCACATGGGTCCGATAATTAACATTATGCCATAGTTGCTTTACTCTTTTTCTCTTTATATACTTTTAAATCTAAAACCTTTTGGGCTTCCCTGGTGGCGCAGTGGTTGAGAGTCCGCCTGCTGATGCAGGGGACACGGGTTCGTGCCCCAGTCCGGGAGGATCCCACATGCCGCGGAGCGGCTGGGCCCGTGAGCCATGGCCGCTGAGCCTGCGCGTCCGGAGCCTGTGCTCTGCAACGGGAGAGGCCACAACAGTGAGAGGCCCGCATACCACCAAAAAAAGAAAAAATAAATAAAACCTTTGAAATAAGCTGCATGTGTTGTGACTTCACTGCTAAATACTTATAAGAATAAGGACATTTTCCTGATAACCATAATGCCATTATCACATCTAAGAATACTAACGATAATTACATCATCAAATATCTATTCCATCTTCAAATTACCTTAATTGCCTGAAAATTTATTTTTGTAGCTGATATTTTGTTTACCAGTTCAGGTCTAGGTGATGTTTATGTATCATACATATTTGTTATTACATTGTATGTATTTTGTTGTTTGAGTCTGTACTCTCTATTTTAGTCTAGAACATAGGGAGGTTTTATTAAGGGAGGTCTTAACAGTTTATTCTTGTTGACTAGTTGGTATTAAAGGTTGAAGAGAACGATCCTGCTATTATAGTACATGTCTTTTGGCTTCTCTTTCCCTTAAGCGGAAAGATATTATCCAGTTCTGTTAATTTTTTCAGATTATTGTGTATTAATCTGGATCTGTTAACATTATTTGTAACTGTGAGAAAACCCAGTAAATTTAGAAGGGGATTCTTATCTGTTTTTACTTGAAGTTGTTTTTCATGTCTTTGGAATAGTATTCTTATATGTGTGTTTGTGTGTGGTTTTCCTATGTATGAAAAAAGTTTTCTTCTATTAGATGAATATGCTTATAAATAGACCTAAAATGTGTGATTTGTTCTTTTTTGTGAAATTTGGATGTAATGGCCTTGGCTAGAAGTAATATATTTAAAAACATACAGCTTACCATTCAAGATTCTCCATAGTTTGGCTATGTCTGCAACCTCATTTTTCTACTATTCTTTTTTTTTACCTAATCCTCCTTCCAAAGTAAATTGTTTCCATTATTCACTGAACCTTACTCACCCTTGCTTGTTCATTTCCATAATTTTGGTTATATTTTTTCTTCTGCCCAAGAAATGCTATTTTACATGTTATCTCATTGTCACAGCCTCCCTTATCTTTTAGGCACAGCTCATATCCCCCACCAAGTTGAAGTAGTCTTCCCCTTCTTTGATTACTCATGGCTCTTTATCTGTACTTCTCTTATGGCACTTTATGCTATTTTGAATCACGTATATTTATCATTTCTGTGAGACAGTACATAACTTGAGATAGAATCTGTGTCTATGTCATCTCTTTTTTTTTAAGACATCCAAAAAATTTTATTTATTTATTTTACCATCTTTATTAGAGTACAGTTGCTTCACAATGGTGTGTTACTTTCTGCTTTATAACAAAGTGAATCAGCTATACATATACATACATCCCCATATCTCCTCCCGCTTGTGTCTCCCTCCCACCCTCCCTATCCCACCCCTCTAGGTGGTCACAAAGCAGGCGATGATCTCCCTGTGCTTTGCAGCTGCTTCCCACTAGCTAGCTGTTTTACATTTGGTAGTATATATAAGTCCATGCCACTCTCTCACTTCGTCCCAGCTTACTCTTCCCCCTCCCCACGTCCTCAAGTCCGTTCTCTACGTCTGTATCTTTATTCCTGTCCTACCCCTAGGTTCCTCAGAACCACTTTTTTTTTAAGGTTCCATATATATGTGTTAGCATATAGTATTTGTTTTTCTCTTTCTGACTTACTTCACTCTGTATGACAGACTTTAGGTCCATCCACTTCACTACAAATAACTCAATTTCGTTTCTTTTTATGACTGAGTAATATTCCATTGTATATATGTACCACATCTTCTTTATCCATTCATCTGTCGATGGACACTTAGGTTGCTTCCATGTCCTGGCTATTGTACATAATGCTGCGATGAACATTGTGGAACATGACTTTTTTTGAATTATGGTTTTCTCAGGATATATGCCCAGTAGTGGGATAGCTGGGTCATATGGTAGTTCTATTTGTAGTTGTTTAGGGAACCTCCATACTGTTCTCCATAGTGGCTGTATCAATATACATTCCCACCAACAGTGCAAGAGGGTTCCCTTTTCTCCACACTCTTTCCAGCATTTATTGTTTGTACATTTTTTTGATGATGGCCATTCTGACTGGTGTGAGGTGATACCTCATTTAGTTTTGATTTGCATTTCTCTAATGCTTAGTGATGTTGAGCATCCTTTCATGTGTTTGTTGGCAATCTGTACGTCTTCTTTGGAGAAATGTCTGTTTAGGTCTTCTGCCCATTTTTGGATTGGGTTGTTTGTTTTTTGGATATTGAGCTGCATGAGCTGATTGTAAATTTTGGAGATTAATCCTTTGTCAGTTGCTTCATTTGCAAATATTTTTTCCCATCCTGAGGGTTGTTTTTTCGTCTTGTTTATGGCTTCCTTTGCTGTGCAAAAGCATTTACGTTTCATTAGGTCCCATTTGTTTATTTTTGTTTTTATTTCCACTTCTGTAGGAGGTGGGTCAAAAAGGATCTTGCTGTGATTTATGTCATAGAGTGTTCTGCCTATGTTTTCCTCTAAGAGTTTTATAGTGTCTGGCCTTACATTTAGGTCTTTAATCCATTTTGAGTTTATTTTTGTATATGGTGTTAGGGAGTATTCTAATTTTATTCTTTTACATGTAGCTGTCCAGTTTGCCCAGCCCCACTTATTGAAGAGGCTGTCTTTTCTCCATTGTATATTCTTGACTCCTTTATCAAAAATAAGGTGACCATATGTGCGTGGGTTTATCTCTGGGCTTTCTGTCCTGTTACATTGATCTATATTTCTGTTATTTTGCCAGTACCATACTGCTTGATTACTATCGCTTTATAGTATAGTCTGAAGTCAGGGAGCCTGATTCCTCCAGCTCCGTTTTTCTCTCTCAATTGCTTTGGCTACTTGGGGTCTTGTGTTTCCATACAAATTGTGAAATTTTTTGTTCTAGTTCTGTGAAAAATGCTAGTGGTAGTTTGATAGGGATTGCATTGAATCTGTAGTTTGCTTTGGGTTGTATAGTCATTTTCACAATGTTGATTCTTCCAGTCCAAGAACGTGGTATATCTCTCCATCTATTTGTATCATCTTTAATTTCTTTCATGAGTGTCTTATAGTTTTCTGCATACAGGTCTTTTGTCTCCTTAGGTAGATTTATTCCTAGGTATTTTATTCTTTTAGTTGCAGTGGTAAATGGGAGTGTTCCCTTAATTTCTCTTTCAGATTTTTCATCATTAGTGTATAGGAATGCAAGAGATTGCTGAGCATTAATTTTGTATCCTTCTACTTTAACAAATTCATTGATCAGCTGTAGTAGTTTTCTGGCAGCATCTTTA